ACATGGGCAGGATAATGCGTACATTTCTTACCAAGCATTGCAGCCTCCTCCTTTGTTTACCCTTCACATCCCTTCCCAGCCTCCCCCCTCCCCTCAATGTAGCTATGAATATTTACACTACATTTCATATTTACACTTCATTGTACTTTTTTTTTTATAGTCAGGACTGCTTCTCAGTAGAGTTGTAACTGAACGTGCAGCCCAGATTGAATTCCAAAAGAACAACATAAAATCAGATAAAAAATGGGAGGAACAATTGAAACTCAATGTTGAAAAAGCTTTTAAAGAAGAGCAAGAAAAAGTAGAAAAACAACGTAGAGAAAGAATAGCTCTTGCCAAAGATCACCTAAAACAGTATGTATATAGAAATCACCCTTTCTATATCTTCTTTTTCTCGTTATTGATATAGTGCTGATTACACAAGCACCATGCTAAAATACTTAGTAGAAAAACATAAAGAAGAGGCCAGATGCTGGTGGGTCATACCTGTAATCCTAGCTATTCAGGAGGCTGGGAACTGAGGATCACGGTTCAAAGCCAGCCTGGGCAAGAAAGTTTATGGGACTCATCTCCAATTAACCACCAAAAAAGTTGGAAATGGAGCTGTGGCTCAAATGGTAGAGTGATATCACTGAGCGAAGAAACTCAGAGACAACACTCAGGTCCTGAGTTCAATTCCCAGGACTGGTACACACACACAAATACAAAGAAAATGTTAGAACTCACTGTTAGAGCTGGATGTGGTGGTAGAATCCTATAATCTCAGAACTCAGAGATGGAGGCAGGAGGCCAGGCAGACTCAGTCACGCAAACAAACACTTTTACTTCCTCACCCACAGATTATGTGGTGGTTACTATTGCTGTAATAATGGTATAACAAACAACCACAACATAATGGCAGTTAGCTGTCAGTGTGTTTTTCTCCTGCATCTGTTGGTTGGCTGATCTAGACTGGACTCTGCTGAGCAGCTTTTTTTGTGGTAAAGAACTCAAGTCTGCCAGCAGTTTGTGAAAGTGGATTATCCAGCCTTAGTAAAGCCTTCACAGGACAGCACCATGATAGCTTGAGGGCAGCCTCTTGAGACCTGCCCACCCAAGCCACTCTCCAGTTCCTGACTGTCAGGGGAGTGACTGATAGTGACTGTGATAGTGGGATTCTTTTTTTTTTCTCCATTGTGGGGCTTGAACTCAGGGCCTGAGCTCTCCTTGAGCTTTTGTGCTCGTCTAGTACTCTACTGCTTTGAGCCACAGCTCCACTTATGGTTTTTGGATGGTTAATTGGAGAGAAGAGTCTCACAGACTTTCCTTCCTTGCAATCACCAGATCTCAGCCTCTTGAGTAGCTTGGATTACAGGCATGAGCCACCAGCACCTGGCTGAAAGTATTTGTAATCACTAACTTACTGTACTTAGCAATCAATTACTGAACACACTGCACAACTTCTGGTCCTTTGCCTGAAAATGAGATTGTGTGTGTGTGTGTGTGTGTGTGTGTCTCGTAATGGGACTTGAAATCAGGATCTGAGCACTGTTCCTTCGCTGTTTTGCTCAAGTCTAGCATTCTACCACTTGAACTCCAGCTCTGCTTACAGCTTTTTGCTGGTTAACTGAAAATAAGAGTTTCATGGACTTTCTTGCCTGGGCTGGCTTCCCACCTTGATCCTCAGATCTCAGCATTCTTAGTAGCTAGGATTACAAGCATGAGCCACTGTGCCTGGATGAAAGTGAGATTTTTCAAACCTCCTAAATAATCTCTAGGTTCCAGACCCACACAGCCCATTCCACTATAGCACTTTGACCAGTGTGAGTTCCAGAGGAAATAAATAAGATTTATACTGACACCACAACTACCACACAGAGGAATCTATGACCAAGAATCTTATTCAGGTTGGAAAGAAATGTTGGAGAGTACCTATTGCCATAGCTCTTATTCCTCTATAGATGGTTCAGTTGCTCTTCTAGGAAGAGGCTTATAGACCCTGCTTAAAAAAAACAACAACTTACTAATTATAGCCTGTTAATCCCATCAGCTTCCCAAAAGAAGGGAAAAAGCCCCATAGGATAGTTTTACATCATTTACCCTTGGATAAGATGATGTGGAAGGTGTGATTTGTATCCCTTTTACAGACTTAAAAGCCACCTTATATAGATCACTCCCTCCATCCTGCTGTCTTCAGGATATCTCCATGCCCTATCTCTAGGTATCTCAACATGGCTACTGGAGAATTATTGAGTCCCATCCATACAGTGGATTATCCAATTGCATCCCTTTCCACTAAGGTGTCCAAACCAGAAACATTGCAGTCCACTTCATTTTATGTTGGGCATAGGGCTGGCTGCTATCTGAGGGGGTTCCTGGGATCCAGAGTCTGTTTTAACTGCAGACCAGGAGCTCCTGGCAGTGATGGATGTGGAGCTCAGGAAGTAAGTTGAAGAGGTGGTGTTAGAGATTCTTAAGCTCCACAGTGAGGACCTCCTTGGGGTGAGGGGATGTCTCCCAAAAACCCACACGGGGCTGGGAAGGTGGCTTAGTGGTAGAGCGCTTGCCTTGCATGCGTGAGGCCCTGGGTTCGATTCCTCAGCACCACATAAGCAAAAAAGAAAAAAGCCGGAAGTGGCGCTGTGGCTCAAGTGGTAGAGCGCTAGCCTTGAGCTGAAGAGCTGAGGGACAGCGCCCAGGCCCAGAGTTCAGGCCCCACGACTGGACCCAAAAAAACAAACCCACACAGGTCCCACAGGGACAACAAGCATTTGGTCACTAGTGGCTCAGATGGCATTAATAGCTAGCCAGCGGCAGCGAGAACGACAACGGCAGCGAGAGCGACAGCTCAGGTGGCCATTTGAGTAAGGGGACTTCTGCTCCTTTTTCCATCAAGACCCGTCTCTTGAGGGCCTAAGTTCATAGCTTACATAGCACTGAAACCAGAACTGCAGGCCTCACACCCACATCTCAGGTCCAGTCATACTAATGGTGAATGGCCGAGAAAATAAATTGAGTACATGGTATGGGCAGACTCAGAAAGAGGCAAAGTAAATCCTTCAGCCATCTTCAAGATACAGGCATGAGCTTCAGGTTTAAGTAAACAAAGAACTGAGGGTAGCGGTCCCTCAGTCCCAGTCATAGCTGTGGCCTGGTTGGTCATTGTCAGTTGTGATTCTCTAGAGGTTATTGCATTCATCATTTGATGGGAGCAATCTGAGATTACTTCTGCTCCAGAGGGCAGTCTCATCATTTTAGACAATTGTTCTATGTGGGGTGGGGGGTGTTCTACAATACTTTGATGTTCCTTAGGGCTATTGTTGATTCCTTGTCATAAAGATCATCAACTAATATGTCCTCCTGGATCCCCAGGTGATTGTATAGTGACTGTAAAGAGAATGACTTAGACAAAGACAGAGAAAAATGGAAACAAGGATACCAAGTTTGTCTCCTGTATTTAGTTAACACAGGAGCCCAAGTAGAGACTCAGTGCTTTATAGCAAATCACTGTTTAAATACCTGTGGCATCATTATATAATACCAACGTTGAAAAGCACTAGAGATTAGGAACTTTCCCCCTTTACCAGTTAACTAGTCCTTTCTAAAGAGAAGGAACACTTGAATCTGGTGTAAATCTCATTTTGGTGAGGCCTTTTGAAGAATATATTGGCAACTCTGGGTTGTTTTGATTTGTTTTAGTAGCTGCTACTTGATGTCTCTTCTTTTTCCCTAAAGACATTCACAAATTCTTTCTTAAGCTTCCTCCGTCCAAGATAAGAATCGAATTCACTGTTTTGCTCCAAGTTATACTTGTTTTTGCTTTAGAATGAAGGAACGAAAAGATGAAGAAGAAGAAAGGAGAAAATGTGAAGAAAAAGATGCCGAGGAAATGAAGCGACAGAATTTACTGTATGAAATAGAAATTAAAAAAAAAGCAATCAAGAGAAAAGAAGAGATAGATGAAAGCAGGAGACTATTTTTGGTAAGTTGAAAATACAAAAATTCAAAAATTATACAAGTCATATACCAGTGGCTCTCGCCTGTAATCCTGGCTACTCAGGAGGCTGAGATCTGAAGATCATAGTTCAAAGCAAGCCCAGTTAGGAGTCTTATTTAAGCACCAAAAATGCTACAAGTGGAGCTGTGGCTAAAGTAGCAGAACACTAACTAGCCTTGAACAAAAAAATGCTCATGGGTAACGCTCAGGTCCTGAGTTCAAGCCCCAGGACTGTGTGTGCGTAAACACACACACACACACACACACACACAAACTCCAGAGTCAAATACTTAATTTTTATTATATTAAATAATAATAATGTAAGAGAAAACAGCTGCTATTTTTTTTTTTGTTCTGGTCGTGGGGCCTGAACTCTGGGCCTGGGCGCTGTCTCTCAGCTCTTCAGCTCAAAGCTAACGCTCTACCACTTGAACCACAGTGCCACTTCCGGCTTTTTTCTTTTTGCTTATGTAGTGCTGAGGAATTGAACTAAAGGCCTCATGCATGCAAGGCACGCGCTCTACCACTGAGCCACCTTCCCAGCCCAACAGCTGCTATTAAGTTGTGTTGCTAACAGAATATATACTTTTAAGAGAATGTGTATTTGCTATGATTTATTTTGTGTGTCAGTCGTGGGGCTTGAACTCTGGGTCTGGGCGCTGTCTCTGAGCTCTTTTTTTTTTTGGTTAGTAGTGGGGCTTGAACTCTGGGCTTGTGCACTGTCCCTGCACTCTTCAGCTCAAGGCAAGCACTCTACCACTTGAGCCACAGCACCACTTCTGGTTTCCTAGTGGTTTTATTGGAGATAAGAGTCTCACGGACTTTCCTGTCTGGGATGGTTTTGAACTGTGATCCTCAGATCTCAGCCTCCTGAGTAGGTAGAATTACAGACGTATACCCAGCTGTCCCTGAGCTCTTCAGCTCTGCCACTTGAGCCATAATGCCACTTTCAGTTTTCTGAGTGGTTTATTGGAGATAAAAATCTCACAGACTTTCCTGTCTGGGATAGTTTTGAACTGTGATCCTCAAATCTCAGCCTCCTGAGTAGCTAGAATTACAGGCATGAGCCACTGATGCCTGGCAGTTGCTATGATTTTATGTGCTCTCATGAACAGAAAAAGAATGAAATTTCTTTTTCAAATGAGTTTCCTTAAAATGAGAGTTTGTATCACATCTTTTTGTGTGTGTGTGTGGTAATTGGGTTTGAACTTAGTTTCATGCTTGCTAGGCTGAGCCATGCTTCCGACTTGACTTTATTTTAGTTCTCTTGGAGATGGAGTCTAGTTGACTTTTCTGGCTGGCTGGCTTCCAGCCTTGATCTTCTGATCTCAACCGCCTGAGTAGCTAAGAATACAGCAGGGAGCCTCCCTCGCCTAGCTTATTTCACAACTTTTATATGTTTTTAAATTTTTTTTTAAATTCTAAAATAGTGCATGCATAGAATTAAAACACCAAACACCTAACGGCTCAAAGGAAAAGTTGCAGTTTCTTTTTTTTTTTTGTCGGTCGTGGGGCTTGAACTCTGGGCCTGGGCGCTGTCCCTCAGCTCTTCAGCTCAAGGCGAGCGCTCTATCACTTGAGCTACAGCGCCACTTCCGGTTTTCTGGTGGTTTATTGGAGATAGGAGTCTCACGGTCTCTCCTGCCCGGGCTGGCTTTGAACCACGATCCTCAGATCTCAGCCTCCTGAGTAGCTAGGATTACAGGCGTGAGCCACCAGCGCCCGGCTAGTTTCTTGTACTGTCCATTTTGCTTCTCGCAGACAACCATTTTTAAGTGAGAGGTACAGGGGCTTGAACTCAGGGCCTCATGCTCTCATGTAGCTTTTGGCTCAAGGTTAGCACTCTACCTCTTGAGTCACATCTGTACTTTCAGTTTTTTGCTGATTAACTGGAGCTAAGAATCTCACAGACTTCTACCCAGGCTGGCTTTGAACTGGATTCTCAGATCTGAGCCTCCTGAGTAGCTAGCATTACAGGTGTGAACAGGTGCCTGGCTTGAAAAATTATATTCTAAATATTCTACATTTAGGTCTTAAAATGTGTAGAAGGATCTAAAAGATACTCATATTGCTTTATGTGGTTTGGAGAGAGGTTTCTGCCTTGTTGTCCTGGTAGTTGAGGATTTAACGCTTTCTTTCATATTCTTCTTCTCATCTTCCACTCCCTAACTAAATGCCACAATTTTATGTAAATCGTTATTATAGTTATATAAATATTTTATTTGCAAAGTCAAGTAGTATGGTATGACTTCTTTGAGACTATAAAAAATTTTTATTTTAGCTGGGTGCCAGTGGTTCATGCCTGTAATCCTAGCTACTCAGGAGGCTGAGATCGGAGGATCGTGGTTCAAAGCCAGTCCAGGCAGGAAAGTCCTTGAGAATCTTATTTCTAACCACAAGAAAACCAGAAGTAGTACTGTGGCTCAAAATGGTAGAGTACTAACCTTGAGCTCAGGGAAAAGTGCCCAGGCTGTGAGTTCAAGTCTCATGATGGACAAAAATAAATGATTTTAGTTTATTTTTTTTTGAGACAAGGTCTTACTCTGTAGTCTCAAACTTGCCTTGTGGCCCAAGATATGAAATTGGAATATACTATGTAGTATTTTATATTTTACTCTCTCCCTTATGTCACTGAGATTATGGTTTATTTTTACCACTTTTCTATTATTGAACACTTAGAGATTGTGGCTCAGTGGGAGAGTGCTTGCCTTGCATGCATGAGGCTCTGGGTTTAACTCCTCAGCACCATATAAGCAGAAAAAGCTGGAAGTGGCTCAAGTGGTAGCAGGCTAGCCTTGAGCTGAAGAGCTGAGGGATAGTGCTCAGGCCCAGAGTTCAGGCCCCCACGACCGACATATATATGTATGTATGTATTTGGTACCTTTATTCACAGTTCTACTCATTTGGGACATATTTCCTGCAAAGAAATGGCTACATTAGAAGCTAAGACTATTTGAAGGTTTTGATAGATATTGATATGTGAAATATTTTTGGAGAAGATAATATGTATTTATTTCTTCAAGGAACATATGAATGATAAAAATATCATTAAAGCTGTAGAACAACAGCAGCAGGAAGAGGAAGATGAAAAGATTAGAAAAATGATCATAGCAAAAAAGCGCCTTATACAAATGCGACGAGACAAAGAAGCTGAAACGCACAGGTAGAATTTTAAAATAACATGGATAGTTAATGAAGGAGTGTCTGAAATTATTTCACAGGAAGTCAAAAGTTAAGGAAGTGTGGACTTTAAGTACGGAAGTACCACTGTTTATATGACTAGGCATTTGGTGACATGATGGTTTTGATTTAGTACATGAAAAGAGTTATACTATCCTTTAGGGGCTGGGAAGGTGGCTCAGTGGTAGAGTGCCTTGCATGATTGAGGCCCTGGGTTCGATTCCTCAGCATCACATAAGCAGAAAAAGCTGGAAGTGGCGCTGTGGCCCAAGTGGTAGAGCACTAGCCTTGAGCTGAAGAGCTTTGGGACAGCGCCCAGACCGAGTTCAGGCCCCACGACCGACCAAAAAAGAAAACAAAAAAACAACGACGACGAAACTATCCTTTAGCTATGGAAGGACTCTCTTGGATGGATAGTTAAATATATTGGTCTTCTAAGGGAAAGACGAGCTGGAAAAGGCTCTGTGAGCCATTAGAATGTAAGTGGTAGTGCCAGCTGTGGATACAGGTGAGTTCACTTAGGGTGACAGCTAGGAAATGAAGGTGGCCTAGTCCCTAGGGAACTCCATATGTAAATGCCAAATGGAGAAAGAACACAAGAGAATAGCTTCTAAAGATTGGCAGAAAACCAAAGAGACCTTAAGGAAGAGAATTTCAGCGAGAGGAGAGCATTCACCGGTGTTTTATCAATAGAGGGATTGATTAAGATTTGATAAACAAGTGTCTCATAAAATGAGACTTGAAAGTTATTTCTTTACATAATGTGCAGTGTGGGATGGGTGGAGAGACAAGGGAGGAAGGCAGATTGTAGTCCAGGTATTTCTGTCTAGATCATGCATCTTCCCTGTGCAAAATCCTCTTGTAGCTTCATTTCTCCCTCAGTCTTTACAATGCCCCCCACACTCCATGGCCTCCGGATGCCCAGCGCATCCCACCTTCATTTTCCAGACCTCATCTCCTACTGTACTCTTCTCTTCACCTGTTCTAACCAACTCTGCACTCTTCCTGTACACTCTGTGGGTAACAGACACCTCCAGAGTACATATAATTTGCTTTACTACCTCTTCCAGATCTTTACTTAAATATTACCTTCTCCTTAAGGATTTTCCTAATCCCTTTCTTTAAAATTACACTCTGGGGTTGGGAAGGTGGCTCAGTGGTAGAGTGCTTGCCTTGTATGCATGAGGTCCTGGGTTTGATTCCTCAGCACCACATAAACAGAAAAAGCTGGAAATGGCGCTGTGGCTTAGTAGACAGCGCCAAGGCTCAAAGTTCAGGCCCCAGGGCTGGCAAAAAAAAAAAAATTACACTCTGTAGATCAAAGACAAAAGAGGAAGTAAGACAACATAAAATTGCATGCTTTGCTTCGTTTCCATAATTGTAAGAAATACCTGAGCTATTTTGGCTCATGGTTTTGAAGGTTTCAGCCTATTGCCTTTGGGTCTGTGGCAAGACTTCAGCACATCATGGTGGGCTACAGGGTAGAGGAAGCCTTCACTCATGGCAGTTGAAGAAAGGGACAGAGAGAGACACATAGAAATAGAAGGAGGGAGGGAGAGGTGAGACAGGAGGGAGAGAGACAAAGGAGAGAGGAGAAAGGAAAAAGAGAGGGAGAGAAAGGAGAGGGGAGAAAAAAGGGAGAGAGAGAGAAAGAGGAGAGAGCATGAGAGAAAGGGCCAGGATTCCAATATTCCCTTTAAGGGCATGACCCCAGTGACCTAATTTCCCTTCACTAGACCCCAGGCCTCTTATGGGTTCCATTCCCCCCACTCCTTGCGTACACAGGCTGGTGATAGGCTTTCAAGACATGGGCCTTGGGGTACAATTCAAATCAAAACACCTTTATCCCTTTAACTGCCTTCTTTTACTTCATTGCTTGGTAGCTATATTGTATTACAATTTATTTATTCAATTTATTGTGTTACTATTTGAAGGCAGAGCCTAGTGCTTGGTAGACAGGTGCTCTACTGCTGAGCCTTGTCTCTATCCCTCTTTTACACTCATTATTTTTGAGATAGTGTCTTACTTCCTGCTCAGGTACACACCTGGCAGCAATCTGCCTGTGTTAAGTTTCCTGTTGTAGTTTGGTGACAGACACATGCCACCACATCCACCTTCTTCCACTGAGCTGGAGACTGGTGGACATTTCTGCCCAGGGTGGCTTGGAAAAACAGTCCTCTTGATCTTAGCTGCCACAGAGCTGGGAAGACAGGGATGCACCACTGCATCCAGCTATGGGTTGAGAAGGTGGTCTTGGGAACCTTTCTGCCAACTGGTCTTAAACCTTAATCCTCCAAATCTGAGCCTTCCAAGTAGCTAGATTACAGGTGTGAGACACTGGCATCTGCCTTTTAACTGTTTTGTTTATATCCCTCTCTCCCAGCAATAATAAAACCTCCATAAGAGAAAAGAGTTTACTTTTGTTTTAATGCTTTTGTTTACTGTTATGTTCTTAGCACCTGGAGTAGTGCCTGGTATACAGTATACCTTTACAACTGTACAAGGATTTGGAAGTCCTCCTTTATACAATATTCCTTTTCTCCTCCTCTGTCCATATCGCTTTCTAGAGTTCTCATGTCATGTATCATCCTTTGCTTTAGATAGTTATTGCATAAATATCTTTTTTCTGTACTTTAGACTTTGGCTATGCACTAATTCTTTTCATCATTTCTTGTGCACTTTGCTCAATCAATAAATTAGTGAATTGTCACACTAATTTACCAGTTTCCTTTCCCTATTCCTTTAACAAAATATATTTATTAGCCAGGTACTGGTAGCTCATGCCTGTAATTAATCCTAACTACTCAAGGGTTGACATTAGCTTTGAAGCCAGTTTGGGCAGGAAAGTCCGTGAGATTGTTATCTCCAACAAACTATTTTTTTTTTTAAAAGCTGGAAGTGGAGCTATTACTCAACTGATAGAATGCTAGCCTTGAGGGAAAAAAAGCTCCAGGATAGCACTTAGGCCCTGAGTTCAAGCCCTAGGAGTGGCACTATATATGTGTATATATATGCATATATATATATATATATATATATAGTTATGTGTTATATACATATTTGGCCCTTGACTAGAGAGAGAATCTGGGAATCTAATAGTGAAAGGGAGAAGGTTGTAAAAACACATCGTCAACAAATTCTAAACATGATAGTGGGAGGTTGAATTTATTCACTATTTTGATAACTATTTTCTTAGGTTTAATTAAAGGTCATTTATTGCATAAGCCTTCAGTGTTAAAACAAGCAGGTAGTCTAATAAAAGTATTTTATTTTATTTTTTGCCAGTCCTGGGGTTTGAACTCAGGGCCTGAGCACTGTCCCTCAGCTTTTTTTTTTTGCTCATGACTAGCACTCTCCCACTTAAGCCACAGCGCCACTTCCAGCTTTTTCTGTTTATGTGGTACTGAGAAATGGAACCCAGGGCTTCATGCATGCTAAGCACTCTATCACTAATCCAACTTCGCAGCCCTAATAAAGTATTTTTAAACAGTCTCCAATATGGAGAATTTTAATTGTGTGTGTGTGTGTGTGTGTGTGTGTGTGTGTGTGTGCTGGTACTAGGCTTGAACTCAGGGCCTGGGTGCTGTCCCTTCTTCACTCAAGGCTGGAGCTCTACCACTGAAGCTACAGCTCTACTTCTAGCCTTTTGCTGGCTAATTAGAGGTAAGAGTCATCCTTCCCAAGCTGGCTTTGAACTGTGATCCTCAGATCTCAGCCTTCTGAGTAGTCGTGAGCCACTGGCACCTGGCAACAACTTTTTCCTATACACATATACATACACATAAATACAATACAACCATATACATGACTTTTAATTTTTAGAAATATTTATTACTTTTTTATTATAAATTCCTTATCTTAGCCATTAAAAATAAATGTAAAATATGTGACAAATTAATATTCACTTGAAACAATGTGTAAAGAGAGTAATGCATCTTTTTAGTTTTATAGATTGCAAAATATCTCAGCCTTCATAAGGAAGTTCCCTTGGCTCCATTACAAATCTGTTCCTTTTGTTCTAGGCTAATGGAAGAGCGGAGAAAAAGAATAAATAACTTCCTGAGTGAACTAATGAAAAAGAAACTTGATAATGAAGATTTGATTTTTGCTAGAGATAGTGTAGAAGCTGAGACTGAGTTGGAAAAAAGAGAAAAGGAAAAGAAGGAAAAAACTGAAGCAGAAATAAAAGCAATTGCAGAATATAGAGACACTGTGGTAAACAATTCAACTAAGACTTTTCCAGCATGGCATCCACACCCTCTGGCTCTCTGACCCAAATCTAGCAGAGATAGAAAAACTGTATAGATTCTCTTTCTATATTCTTGAAACCATTGGTGACTTCCAAGTAGAATCTGATGACAGTCAGCTACTGATATTTGTAGATGCAGAGTAGCATCTTTTTCAGAACCAGTTTAAGTGTAAAGATTGTTATTTATTTAATGTATATTCAATTTAAATGTTTTTAACAAGCCACATAAAAATTATTCAGTTATATAGGGGAAAAACGAAGGAGGAGGTAACACTTGATAGGAAATATACTCATTACCTTACCCCTCTGTACAGTATTTTTACAATAAAATATATACAAAAAATTATTCAGTTACAATGTTAAATCAATCCTGTAAATTGACTGTCATAACATTTAAATTATACATTGATAAATGCTAGCAATATTTCACCTATAGTTCCTTAAGATCTTTTGTGCCTATATTTTCTCCCTCTTCCCTCCCTTCTTCCTTCTTTTCCCCTCCTTTTTTCCTCCCTCCTTTTTTCCTTCCCTCATTCCTCACCACTCTCCCCATCCCCCTCCAGCCATCCCTTCCTTTTTCCCCCTCACTCATTTTCTTCTTCCATTTCTTCTTTTTCCTCCTCCATCATCCCCTCTAAACTGGCTATGTAATCCAGGCTGGTCTCAAACTAAGATCCTCCAGCACCAGCCTCCCTAGTGCAGAAATTACAGGCATGTCCCATAATACCTAGCTGTATTTTATCTTTTAAACCGAAGGAGTTGTTCTATTTTACTGGTATTTTCATTAGGCATTTCCTAATATTCAGGGAAAAAAATGAAACAAAAGTAAACCTGCCATATCAACACAGATGCACATATTTCTCTGCCCCTGCTTCACTCCTGGCTAACTTTCTACTTGGAGGATTCTAACTCTGTTCTGGTTTTAATTAGAACTGGCTGCTAAAATTAATTTTAATTAAAAAAATTTTCATTGTCTAGATGAAAAACAAAGAGGAAGAAGAAAGACAACGAAAAATAGAATTCAAAGAGTACTTGGAGGCTGTCAAAAAAGCAGATGAGATTTATTTGGAGCAGGAAAAAGAGAAAAAAAACAAAGCTAGTAAAAAACTCCAAGATCTTCAAGATGACCATATTCAACGAATGGTAATTACTTTCTAAATACACATTTTAGTGATAAATATGTAATGCAGTTTTCATGCTAGTTTCCTGTTTCCCAGTTTCCTTTGTTAGGAATGGTTGCTATGGTTACCACAGTAGACTACCTCATACCTGTGAGGTTTGCCTTTGTATCATCTGCACTGAAGTTCATGTTAGGTTGTTCCTTTACAGAAATGTTTATCTTGAGTCCAGTGTTCGACTGTAGTTACCTCATGGCTTCAGTTTACATTTCCCTAATGACTGAGGATCATGAACAGCTTCTCATGTTCTTCTTAGCTGTTTGTGTGACTCCTTTTGTGAAGAGTCCATTTAAATGTGTCATCAGTTATTTGAGGGATTTTAGTTAAGCTTTTTATATTTGAAATATAGCATAAAAGCAAACATTTTAACATGTGTGTGTGCAAGGTGTGTGTATGTGTGTTTGCACATGTGTGCATATGTGTGCTAGGGATGGAACCCAGAAATGTTTATGTTTCCTAGCCTTTTTCTTTCTTGCAGTGCTTGACCCTAGGGCCTTGCCCATGCTAAGCAAGCACCTTGCTCTGAGTTCCACCTCCAGCCCCATATTTACCATTTTTCAGTGTATATCTCTATGCCCCTATCTACCTTCTGTCTCTATGAGTTTTATTATTCTAGGGGCCTCATTTAAGTAAAATCTACTGTATTTATCCTTTAGGGTGTGGCTAATTTCATTTAGCATACTGAGTTCATACATGTGGCAGTAAATATATTGTATGAATGGACCATGTTTTTTTGTCCATATTGCTGACCACAGACCTGTGAGGGGCTTCTCCCTTGTGGCTATTGAATAGTACTTCTCTAAATGTAGGAATCCACAAATATGTCCTTTCAATTCTAAAAGACCGAATAGAATTGCAGAATCCTATGTTAATTCTATCCAAGCAACACTTGCTTTCCTTTCTTTCTTTTTTTTTTTTAGAAAATCATAATATGGGGCTGGGAAGGTGGCTCAGTGGTAGAGTGCTTGCCTTGCATGTGTGAGGCCCTGGGTTCGCTTCCTTAGCACCACATAAAGAGAAAAAGCCGGAAGTGGCGCTGTGGTTCAAGTGGTAGAGTGCTGCCTTGAGCTGAAGAGCTGAGGGATAGCGCCCAGGCCCAGAGTTCAAGCCCCACAACGGACAAAAAAAGAAGTCAAACGTAGCATTTCATGTTTAGAGCATATCTTATTGGTAGAGCATTTACTGAGCATGTACAAGGAAGGCCCTGGGTTCAATCCTTAATATGGCTTCCCTTAAAAAAAAAGCAGTAGCCCATTGTGTGTGTGTGTGTGTGTGTGTGTGTGTGTGTGTGTGTGTGTTAATCTATTTATTATTATTTTTTTTTGCCAGTACTGGGGCTTGAACTCAGGGCTTTGGGCTCTCAGCTTTATTGATGAAGGCTGGTGTTCTACCACTTGAGCCAAGCCTCCAGTTCCAATTTTTCTTTTACATTGTATTTTCTTTCTTTCCGAAATAGGCTAAACGTAAGTTTAATGCAAAACAAGCAAAAGAAGAAGAACTCAATTACTACAGATGTACCAATGCTCTTATGGCTGAAAAGGAGAAGGATTTTCAGGATTATGCCAGAGAAGTGATTAAATTTGAATCGGAATCAGCAAATAAATGCATTTATCCTCTTGTAAAAGCTGTACAGGAAGGACCTGGAGGCGGCCATGGACCACCTCTTATGGAAAGAGGAGGATTAAGACCAAGCTATCAGGCAAATGATATTACTGGAGTCCAGCTTCCTTTTTACAACTCTCAGGGAACAAAATATGATTTTCAGAAATCTAAGGGAAGGCTAGGTTTTACTTATTTTTAAGATTGACAGAATTTATTGTAGTAAATATGAGATACAAATATAAATGGATGTATGCTTATAATTTCTATTAATAAAGCTGCTTTTCATCTCAAGTACAATCATGACCGATTTGATTCTTCAAATATTCCCATTGAGTATATATAAATGCCCAAGTTTACATGATTCAGGTTTTTTTTTTTTTTTGGGTCCGGTCGTGGGGCCTGAACTCTGGGCCTGGGTGCTGTCCCTCAGCTCTTCAGCTCAAG